TTGATTTCTATTTCATTGATCACATTTTCCAAAAGAATAGATTTAATATAAATAGGTATTTATAAAACATTTATTACATATTTTATATAGAAAATAAGTATTTCTTGATTTAATGGAAAAGTGTCTCCCCAACTTAAGTCTTTCACAAACTTGCGTGAGTTTAGCCAAATCTGAACTTTTTTTGTCATATTTTCGTTAAGTCGACTCAAATTTTAAATCTCTATCAAATATCCATGAAACAGTTAATTTATATATGTGCCAGTTATCTCTTCTAATATTGCAATAAAATATATGACTTTTAAAATATAAAAACACTCATCCACCTCCGAATAATACAGTGTATGTTAATTAAATTGCATTTAAATAAAAAATTTTTTAAAAATATTCACCCATATGCCCTGAAAAGAGTCTTACCTACTTCAGTGGCCCACATACCCTTGCTGGAGAAATACTGATGTTCAGAACATTCTCTTATGCTTTCCTATTTTCTCCCTCTTAGATTCCTTAGCTCTAACAAAGGTTTGTATACTTGAGAACAGAAACTAGAGCTGTTCCTTATTAGGGAGAGAAGTGCTCTTAATTTTAAAGAACTCTCCCACTTTCCCTCCCCCAGGCTTGTTTTCATAGAATACCAGCATTTCTGAATTCACAAGCTCCTCATTCAAGGCTGACTCTTCCTTGACCCAGCCAGTTTTCTCTGACATTTACAAGTAAACATCATAAGAGAACCATGGAGGCAGAATGCTTGAAGGTAAAGAAACACCTGTATGTCAGGCCAGAATAAGGACAGAACTTAGTGAGGGCTGCGTTCTCTGGCCCCAACCTCACTGGGCCTCTCGGAGACTCACTGAGCTTTGAATGGAAGTGGAGCTGAAAAGATTCTAGAGAAATAGCTCATCCTGTTTCTTACAAATGGGGCGACTGAGGCCCAGAGGGGAAAAATGGCATATCTAAGGTCACACCGTTGGCTGGTAACGAGGCTTAAGGCTTGGCTCACCTACCCACGTCTCTTTTGTATTTATTTCACTATCTCTGAAGCAAGGTAAGGACAGTCTCATGCTAGGAATCACAAAATCCTGGCATTAGAAATGACTGCTTTCCAAAGAGGAACAGGCCCCAAACAGCCACTTCGGCCAAGGTCACTTATGTGATACCTTCAGAATGACAGGACATGTCAAGACCACTCATGATCTGGAGCCCCCTTCACTATTAAGGGGATTTCTAGCCATGACATAAGTACAAAGTATAGATGGTCTTATCCTCAGGTGCTCTCATGCCCTGTTGCCCTACTCAGGAAACTCCTGTTCTGGAAACCACATTCAGATCATCTCTACCTTTTATAGCTATGACGAATAGCCTTGAAATGTCCCCATGATTCCATAACAGGGGAGCCCAGGCTAAATGCCAAGTAGAAAATCTGAGGCTCTGAGCCCTGATTTTGTTTTTTGTTTTTGCCGGAGTTTAGGCTAAAAAGTTTTAATAAAACTCTAATGACTAATCAGAAGTCTGTGTCTCTGTTGCCTTAAATGTGAATTGCAAAAGCCCAAACTACCAACCTACAGTTCCAAAGCCACGAGTGTTTCTATGCTCTGGAAAGCTATAGGGCACAAAGATGAGGCGGGGGGCGGGGGGCAATGGATAGCCAGCCAGCCTATACCAGAAACATGGCATGACAATTCAAAGGTCATTGGCTCTGTGAAGGTTTCCCAAATGGGAGAATTAATGGGTCCCAACCCTTAGGCCTCATGGTACTTTGTGCATCCCTCTACAGTCCCTTACATTGTTCTCTGCTCTCTTGGAGGCCTGTTGCCCCTTTGGACAGTGAGTTCCTAGAGGGCAGGAGCTGTATTTTATTCTCCTGGATTCCCAGTGCCTAGTGTAAGTAAGTAGCCTTCTAAAATCTGTTTATGAGGAGGTATGAACAATGTCCTAGGGAAATACAGAGTAGGGGAAAATGCCATGTGATGTAAACCAAGTGATTCATTCAGCTTTAGAGTCTCACTGTGACAGAGAGGGCATTTGAGCAGGGGTTTAAAAGACAAGTAGGAGTTTCTGGGAGCCATTTTGGCACAGCCTGAGAAGCGACAGTGTGAGTATATGTCATGCCTACATCGTGAGAGCCCTTTCCCCGCTGCCCGGCACCTTGCGTCTGAAGGAGACACACAGCCTCAGCTTGCTCTGTATATTTTACGTATCCGAGCCAGGTGTCTGTGTAACTCGTTGAGCTAGATGGTCGTTGGTTAATTTCTAGCTGTGTATGTTAGTGTTAAAAATACACAGATGTGCTAGGTAGGGGCATTTGTCAAAACCATTTCAAGTAGGCTTTATAGAAGCTCCAAGGAATGTGTGGGCGCAGAGAAGTCACCCTGACCCGTGTACTTATGCTCAGTGGAATGTGCCCAAGACTTCTTTAGGAAAGCGGGATGCACCTCTGAATGTCATGTGGTTCTTGTAACAATGTCCATTGTTACAACCTGCCCCCAAAGACTTTAGCACTTACGTTAGCACTTACTTTCTTTTTTTCCTCATTTTTAAAAATTTAAATTCAATTAATTAACATATAATGTGTTATTAATTTCAGAGGTAGAGGTCAGTGATTCATCGGTCTTATAGAATACCCAATGTTCATTACATCATGTAGCGCTTATTTTCTAACAAATGATAAAATTCATTCACTACGTTAATTACCATTTGTTCCTCTCTGCTGGAATGTAAACTCCATGAAGGCAGGGGCCTTGGTGTTTCACATCGGCGTAGCCCAGGTATAGAGAAAAATGTCTTACATATGCATTGAATGAGTGAATATTGACATGAGTGGAGATATTGAATGAACAAGTGAGTGAATACTTTTGCCCCAGATCTGAGCCCAGGTAAAGGGAAAGACGGTTGTCCTAAGAGAAGTGGAACTCGGGATCGGAGGTCACAAGTATTTCCTCCAGAGAGCCAACCTCTACACATAGGCTGCCTCCCTTCCGATGGCTGGGTTGGCTTGCGCCCCACCAAGGATGCCTTGAACACACCTAAGCAACGGAAAAGTTGATGCCTCAAAAGCACTCTCAAGTGGCTCTTGTTTAAATATACCCTTCATCAAAAGAGGTAGCTGTGATGATGCAATCCCGAGAGCACTGTGTCAGGAGCCCTGGGTTCAAGTCCCAGCTACGTCCACGTCTAGCTATGTGATTTCGGGTCAGTTGTTAGCCCTCCCTTGAGCCTCCATTTCCCGACTCATAAAAAAGGGGCACTGAGCCCCTCTTCACGGCGTGCCTAGCACTGCACCTCCTGATACCAGGAGGCCCTCTGTAAGCAGCGTCCGGCCTGTGGAGACCCTCTGAAAGGCCAGCTGTGTGGGTGGATTCGTGAGCCTGTCTCCAGGCCAATCTCCAGCTCTCCCCAGGAAAAGATCCAACAACGCCCCGTGAGTTTTGTTAGGGAGGATTGGGCAGCACCCCCCGCTCCAAACTCAAATCCCCAGTAAGTCAGGAAGATGTATGTGTTTTAAAACACTGGGAGGTCTGCTTTGGATCACCCTGGAGCTGTGGCTTCCCGGAGCAACTGGGAGTGAGTGGAGGGAAGCAGTTCCTCTGCTGGGAGTTCTCGGGGCTCGGTGCTCCTGCCCCACACAGGGGCTGCCTGCGCTCGGCTTCGGTGGCCGTTGACTTTTAAATCATAAAACGCCATTCTATACACAGTTTACTCTGTTGCTAGAAGGCAGCGGAACATAGGTATTAAAAAAAAAAAAAGGCAGAAGCAGCAGCCGTTAATCCCGCCAGGCTTCTGGGTACTGGAGCAGTTGCGGATGACAAAAGCTAATTAGAAACATGAGCAGTTTAACTGAAAACACTTGTGACAATTGGAAGGGCAGCCTCTCTGGTTGGAGAATTTTTCCTGGGGAACCGTTGCGGGAGAAAGTAGCTGCTGCCAGGTAAGTCATGTCATGGTGACTTTGCAGACACGGATGTGCCCTTTGGGGGCTGAAGTGCCGCGTCCCGTCTGTCCCGTGCAGTGGGCGGGCGTGGGGTATGGGTGGCGTGTCACCAGGCTCAGCCGTGACGTGCCCTCCCGGCCACTTTCTGACAGCTACCGTAATGCGGGCGACAGAGCGGCGTGGTTCTGAGCGCTCCCGGAGGAGGGCGTCACAGTCCTCATTCGTGGGGTATGGGCCCCCTTGGTGGCGAGCACAAGTCCAGTGTGGAACCCGCCCTTCTCAGAATCATTCCGATTCTCAGTTTGAAAATATCTTGAGGCTTATTCTGAGAAGAGAGTCTGGCTGGGGAAATGCTCCCCGAGCGAGCGCCAAGGGGGAAGCCTTGACTTTGTGATAACCTGTGTGTTTTCATGCCTACGGTGCAGCCATGTGCGGGTGATACTCTGAAGCTAAAAAATCTTTTTTAAGTCTTGCCTGCATCATGTTTGTATCTCTTTCAGAGTGTCAGCACAGAAAAATGTATATGCTTTGATAGGACCTAGCGACTTTCTCGGGTAATTATTCTTCTGTAAAGATCATGCTTGGTTTCTCTTTCTTTCTTTTTCTATTTTTTTTTTTTTGTCCTGTTTTAATGTCTCTCCTACATTTTCTTAAAGTCGGCTAATTCCCAGTTATTTCGCATAACTGGGAACTTGGGTTGTGGGTTGAATAATTTAAAACAGTAGGCATTTCCTACATCTTTCCTACACACCATAGTGGTGATGGAGGTTTTTGCTAGTTTGTGTTTCCGTAAATGTATGCTTAATTGTGCTTTGCGCATGTTGGTGTTAAGATCAGTGTGCATTTGCACGGCATATCCCGGAATGTGCCGGCGAATGTGAACGGTATGTGATGGAGAGCGGTTGGCAGGTAGGATCTGAAATTGGAAGCACAGGTAATGCACCAGGCGGGTGGTGGTGCCATCTGGCATTTGGGTGGAGAGTGATGGGCCGTGGAACCATGGCCCACCCTCCCTCACCGGCATTGCAGGTCCATAGGCATAATTCGGCTTTCCTTCTCCTCCCCATCTCTGCAGAGCCATTGGCGAGCCCAGCCTCCGCCCACCCCGGAATGAGCGAAAATGCACCTGCTCCTCTGGAGAGCGGCTGCAGTTCCAGCCCCGCTAACAGCAGCACCTCCTCAGCTATCCCACAGCCCGGCGCAGCCTCCAAGCCCTGGCGCAGTAAGTCGGTCAGCGTGAAGCACAGCGCCACGTCGTCTATGCTCTCGGTCAAGCAGCCCGTGCCCGAGGCCCCCAGGCCCCCAGCCGAAGCCATGAAGCCAGCCCCCAACAATCAGAAGTCCATGCTGGAAAAACTCAAGCTTTTCAACAGCAAAGGGGCTTCCAAGGCAGGCGAGGGCCCGGGGTCGCGGGACACGAGCTGCGAGCGGCTCGAGATTCTGCCCAGCTTTGAAGAGAGCGAAGAGATGGAGGCCACCGGTCGCTCGCTGTCCACGGCAGGTCCCGCTTCCAACAGCCCCAAGATTGCGCTCAAGGGCATCGCCCAGAGAACTTTTAGCCGGGCGCTGACCAACAAGAAGAGTTCCCCGAAAGCCAATGAGAAAGAAAAGGAGAAACAACAGCGGGAGAAGGAAAAGGAGAAAAGCAAGGACCTCGCCAAGAGAGCCTCTGTGACGGAAAGGCCGGACCTCAAAGAGGGGCCGAAGGAAGACCCCAGTGGGGCGGTGGTGACCGAGATGCCAAAAAAGTCCTCCAAGATCGCCAGCTTCATCCCCAAAGGGGGAAAGCTCAACAGTGCCAAGAAGGAGGCTACAGCCCCTTCCCACAGTGGAATACCAAAACCAGGAATGAAGAGCATGCCCGGGAAGTCCCCAAGTGCCCCTGCGCCTTCCAAGGAGGTGGAGCGGAGCCGGGGTGGGAAGCCGAGCTCGGGGCTCCCCCAGCAGAAGCCCCAGCTGGACGGCAGACACTCCAGTTCCTCCTCCAGCCTGGCGTCCTCAGAAGGCAAAGGCCCCGGAGGGACCACCCTGAACCACAGCATCAGCAGCCAGACTGTCAGCGGGTCCGTCGGGACCACCCAGACCACAGGAAGCAATACCGTCAGCGTCCAGCTACCTCAGCCCCAGCAGCAACACAACCACCCCAACACGGCCACCGTCGCACCTTTCCTGTACAGGTAGGTGTGGCTGCCTGCCCGCCCGTGCTGGGCCATGGGCCAGGGAGCCTCTCTGGCAGATTCTAGGTCTTTGAGGGCAGGAATCGGGCCTGCCTTCCGGGAGCAGGAAGGCTAGCAGCTGAGGTACCCTTTGACCAGCTGCTGATGGAGCTGTGCACGTGTGCTGGAGGGACCAGATAGCCCGGCATGGCTTGGGCGGGGACGGGGAGAGAAAGCTGAAGAGAGGAAGCAAAATTCGAGCTGCCCCCAGGATGAGGAGGAGTTTGCCAGGCATGTGGGGCCCCAGGGGGGCATTTACTGAAGCAGCCGCAGCACGAGGAGACCTGGTGGGTGGTTCGGTGTCACTGGACACGATAGGCCCCAGCGTCAGTCCTAAGGGATCCTGAGCATACTTCGAAAAATGAAAACCACGGAAATCACCTTGCTGAATACCTGAGGCTTCTTTTCACAGAGGGGTTTATCCTGAACTTCCAGACACTCATGGTTTCTTACTACGTCACATGTATTAAGTATTTTTTCAGTCCTTGCTGTGTACTAGACTCTTGAGAGGAGAGCGGGAACGGGAGGAAGGGACCGGTTCTAGAAGAACAAAAAGAACCAGATTATATTGAGACAAGCCTGGAGGTTTGCTTGTCTGACTCCGTCCCGTCCCCCGGTCCCTCTCCGTCTCTTAACGGCACATCCATGGGACCACGGGAGAGAACGTGGAGCCAGGTGGCCCGCGAAGTCCTCGCGTGTCTCAGCCTGCACCGCACACCTTTGCGGCACGGAGGTTGCTGGCTCTTGGTGGTACTTGACACGTGCTGACGAGTCCTCTCCAGCAGATGGAAGCACCCCTAGCGCTGCTTTTAAGGGAGGCCCAAAGCTTTGCTCATAGTGCTCAGCTTGATCGTATACTTGAGATGTGTAGTACCTTTGGCCAGTCTGCACAGCCGAATGTTAATAATACCCCCTGCATAGCAAAAGGGGCCCAAAGATTGAATGCCATGTTCCAGGCACTTATTGTACAGCTTCTGCCCTAAGTAGAGACACATATACACGATACACACACTCATGCACCCATAGGCATGGACATACATCGACAGTCACAAGTATGGAGACAAGTTCTTATTCCTTTACAAAATGCTAGTGTGCGTATGCCCACGTGTATTTACATCCCTGTTCATGTGCATAGACTCATACCCACACCTTCAGCTTCCTGTGTTTATATGGTTCCCCAGAGAATTGGATATCCCCTCTCTCCCTGCCCGAGTGGTACTCTGGGAGGCTTTGTTACCATCCCTGCCCACAGCGGCTGGAAAGACTGGCCTGAGTGATTCAGAGCAAAGCCAGGCAGGGCCAGCCAGTGAGGGAATGCCAGGCCTCTCCTCGTCCCTCTTTCCTTCTCTTCTGCTCACCCTCCCCGTCAGCAGGGGTCAAGCCCGGGCTTTTTAATTGGGAGGAGGTCATCTCTTTATTCCATCAAGTCATCAGCTCAGCTAACCGTTGGAGAGGAGTGCCAGGGCTTAGAGAATGAATGACTCAGCACTCCATGCAGAGTCTCCTTGCAGGGCTTTGAATTCAGTTGTTCACTGAACCATGGAGGCAACTGAATTGCTCGCCATGAAATTTTTATCATTCCAATAACATTAATAGTCTTGAGGTCACGCATATTCAAGCTCCTGCTCACCGATTCTTGATTTGCATTTTTGAAATGAAAATATAGGATGGTCTTTGGTCACCATCAATTTCACTCCCTCTTTCTTTTTTTCTGGAATCACTGGAAAGATTGTAAAACATTTAACCTCTTTTAAAATTTCAAGCTTTTCTATGAGAGGAAAACTAATGAAAGAGCAAATGTCTGACAAATAGGAGGAACGAGAAAATGTCACGCTATCTGTCAAACTGCATTTTCATTTTCACGTTCACCCCGTACGATGTCCTTCTGGCCCCTCTGATGTGCCTTTCCTTGTCAGGTGAACCAGGATGGGCATCGGGACGCCTGGGCTCTGTCTTTTATTAGCTTGTGACTCCCTGTGTGGTCTTGGGCCCTGCCTGCAGGGACAGCCATGGAGAATATGCACCAAGTATGTGCAGAGACCCAGCTAAGGGCTTTTTGTGCCTTAGCCCATATAATCATCCCCAAGACTCCATGAGCTAGCTACTTTTGAAATCCCCATTCTGTAGGTGAGCAAACTGAGGCTTAGAGTAATTAACTAACTTGCACCAAGTCCAGAGCTAATAGCTAGAAGAACTGGTGTTTAAACCCAAGTCTGTCTAACTAGAGGGACCGAGTTCTTAAGCATGAAACAATCTTGACTCTCTGAATCACTGCGTCTCTCTGAACTGCATTGTCCTCATCTGTAGAGTGAGGAGACTGGGTGAAATGAGGGGATTTTTAAAAATGGGTTAAACTCCCCTTGTGCTCTAAAATTCGATCAAGTTCATGGCTCACTGCAGATAATTTGCAGTGCTCCCCCCAGCCCCAGAATCTGTCCATGTTAGTGATGTTACCAAGGCATAAAAGAAAGATAAATCATCTTTTAAAATCAGTCTGAATGAATTGTTTATCAATTCAGAAGTAACACTGTATATCTACCACTTGAAGCTCTACTGGATGCTTCTATATCCTATCAGGGGAGGTCGCTGTTGTAAGCCCTGCTGCACAGAGGGGGGGCCCTGAGGGTCCGAGGTGTGAAGTGACTTCTCAGATGTGCATGGCTACCTCCAGCCAGCTGCACTCCTACAGCTCGGAGGGTTCAGACTCCGAGTCTAATGCTCCTTCCCGTACCCGGCATCTTTCTAGACTTAAAAATTTCTCATTTGTCTGTTCACCGCACCCTGCCTAAGTGTCTGCTCTACACGTGAACTTGATCAGCTCAGGTTCTTGTATGTATGTATCAAAAAAGCCAGTCTTTGCTTTCAGAGAGCTCTCTGGTTGAGGGAAGATGTATTAATTAGATCCCATTGTAATACATCGGCGTCAGGCGAGTAAGAGCGCTGTCAAAACACATAGGTAGAGCCATCCGCTAGCACCGCCCAGGGAGGCTTCCTGGCCAAGATGACGTGTGAACTGCGTGTTAAAGGCAAATGGGGAGCAAAGTGAGGAAGAAAGAGGAAAAGAGCCTCCGGGCACAGATCACCGTAACTACAAAGACAAAACTGCTAAGGGCATGATGTGATCTCGGAATGGAGAGAAGACACGGGTGGAACACAGGGCAGGACTGGCAGGATACAGGGCTGGAGATGAATGAAGAATCCCCACTTCGGGCATTGTCTTCCACAGTAAGGACTTAACTTTCTCTGTGGGCAATGGAAACTATCAGAGGCCTTTCATCAGAGTGATGTGATCACATTACAAAAATCAGTGGAGGATGGTGTGGGGAGGAGACCAGACCTACAAGCGGTCTCGAATAGAGAGCGCAGATTCAGGTGCCTGATTCAGACCTAAAAGGTAACCTAAATCAGCGGCTCAAGGTAATGGGACTGGGGCAGAGGGACTAGGCCTCTCTGGAGGGAGCAACCATCCCTTGGCACCAGCAGGTGGCAAGGTCCTGATTGACTTTCTTGTTTTTACTGAAAGAAAAAGAAGAGAAAGGGACAAGGCAGAAATCCAGATATTTCTTGCAAAATCTCCCAGTTTTAAAATGTTGAAATGAATTCAAAAAGCGTTAAAATACTACACAGACCAGTAAGAATCCATGGGCTGGTTCTAATACTTGGCTGCCATTTGTAACCTCGAGGCTAAAGGCAGTGTACCTGTTTACACAGTGCTTATAGGGCAGAGATGATGAGAGCCTGGACTCTGGCCAGGGGGTCAAGAGGAGCAGTGGGGATCCAAATATGCTCGACGGTTGGAGATTGCAGGAATTTGGAACTGATGGCTTCATTTGGAGGGCAAAGGCGGGGCAGAATAGATGACGAGGTTTCTCAGTACGTCCCCCACATTTAAGACAGTTCACATTCTTGGCAAACACTTTCTTCACAGAGAGTGAAATCTGGTTGAATGAGCTCAGGATGCTAATGAATTAATAATGCTACACCCAGGGTTATGCATCTGAGTGCAATTACGCATTCGCATGCCATGCCTAAGTCAGCAGAGGTAGTTGTGGCAAGAACACATTGCACGAAGCAGTTGCCTTGATTTGCTTGACAAATGAGGGCACAGAGAAGGTTTGGGGAAGTACAGATTTCAGTCAAGTGTTGAAATAATGATCAATGAGACCTTTCATCTCAGAAGATCTGAGCTCTGAATCAGAGACGTGGAGGGCAAACACACCTGCTTGGCACCCACTCCTGACTGGTTTTATAGTCACCTTTTCAGAGAGAGCCATGTCAGGAAGATTTGGGGAGGGCCGTGGGGCTGTTAATGGAGTCCTCTTTATGCTTGATTTGCTGGCATTGCTGAGTACTTAGAAGTTGCTCTTTGGCAGAGGTTAAATGATCCAAACCACGCGGTACTCTCCAGCATTTTTCTGGCTAGACCTAGCTCTCTGATGGGGATTCAGAGAAGCATTCCCCAGTGAGGGATTGCAGACCCTCCATTTGGGCAATGAATATTTCATCTTTTACAGTTCGGTGGTTCTCTCTCTTTCTAGGACATTGCTCCACATGTGCTGATGAATTATTTAGAGTCAGTCTGCTGGTCTGCTCTGTTCTAAAGCTTCTTGTGGGTGGTGGGTGCTGTGGTCAGACCACAGTGGTCCAGATGTGGTAGCTACTGTTCGTGACAAGTGTGTCTGCTTTGGTTTGTGTGTGAAGGTCCCAGACAGACACCGAAGGGAATGTTACTGCTGAATCCAGCTCCGCGGGTGTGAGCATGGAGCCCAGCCACTACACCAAGAGTGGACAGCCTGCTCTGGAAGAACTCACTGGTGAGTACGGAGCCCCCAGATAGTCTGTGTCTGCTGGTGATGAGGCCTCCCGTATGACCACCTGCTGGAAGGCCACAAACCCAGCTTGACTCAAAGTTGCTTTACTGTTGCATTGATGGATGAGCTAAACAAACTTATTTTCTTTTTTATTATTTTATTATTTTCCTTCTTCTCTTTCTTCTCAGTCCTCTCTCACACAATCTACTCCCTTGTCCCCAGAATTGTAAATAAGTCTCTTACTTATTGGCAGATCCTATTTTAATAAATATTCCATTTCACTCATGTAGGGGGTCTGGGTGCTCTGACACTTAACCTTGAACCTCCTTGTTTACTCTTCAGATAAAGTCACTTTCAAACAAGATCTGGAGCTATAAAATACTGTCTTTTTTTCTTTCCTGTATGGAAGCACAGATTGAAAATGCATTCTTAGCATCCTCCATTAATCAGAAAGAATACAGCATGCTTCTTTTACCAAAAAGAAAGAAACGAGCAAACCTAAATTTTATTTAAGTATAACCTAGCCGATGATGATTAAAGGGGTATTATGTTATGTGAAAACATAAAATCCACAGTGTCATGTAGTTAAAGCCACAGATACTGATTTATCAATGTTACACTGTCACATTCTTAAAGGAGAAAAGTTAGATATGAGTTAGGATTCCTACTGCAGTGCATTCGGAGTTACCCCCTCCTCTGTCTGTCTTCCCTGTTCCCCAATTCTGTGCCCTCTCTTCCAGCAACTTCTAATCAAGGAAGTAAGTGGTAAACCACATATTTAGCCGTGGTTTTATTATTCTTCGCATATCTTACCACTTCCAGAGTTGGGTTAAAAATTGAATCCATGTTTAAAATCCATTTATTAGACTAAATATCCATGACCACAGCATTTTAATAGCCACATTACAGCTGTGGCATTGGTCTGCAGCCACGTGATGGAATCGTACCCATCTCACCATTAACTCTGAATATTAATTTCAGAGGATCTGAGCGATTTAACTATTTCCTTCTGGTTCTGCTGGCTGGGCACAGTGATAGGGCAGAGTTTTGAAGCCATTTTGAAGTGATCCATCTTGCCATGGCTCAGGGCCCCACATTTGGGATTGATTTTGTGCTTCCTTCTCACCAAGCTCTGTAGCCCCCTTGCAGATGAGGACACGGATAGCCCAGCTAAAGAGCCCGCTATGAGAAGGGCGTGGCATTCAGTGACTGCTCAGGTCTCCACACGCATTCCAGACCGTGTTCTTATGTGCACACATCAAAGGAGCCGGGCCAGCACTCCAAGGGCCCGGCAAGTATCAGATGTGTGTCCCGTGGAGTAGTGTGGATTCATGTCAGACACCGAGGCTCAGCAAAATTCACGTTTGAAAAGCAAAAGCAGCTAGAGAACATTCCACATCACACTTAAATTTCAGAGTGACAGATTACAGCCTGTGATCTTTCACCAGTTTTTCTCTTTCTCCATGTGTCTCCTCTGCATCAAGCCTGCACAGCCAAGGAAGAGCTCAGGGAGCCTGAGATGCTGTAGTTGGTGTGGGGGACAGACCTGTGCAGCCAGGCTTGCCTGATCAAGCACTCTGGTTTTCGTGAAGTCTGATGGCATGGGTTGCTGATGGGAATTTTGTCCGTCCTCCCCCCACTTCCTTCCTTCCTTCCTTCCTTCCTTCCTTCCTTCCTTCCTTCCTTCCTTCCTTCCTTCCTTCCTTCTTTC